GTACTTTAACTTGTTTTACTTTGATTATTTTGTTTCTCTTAATATTTTTCATTTATTTTTACTGTTTTGTATGGCAGGCAGTAATTTCAATCTTTTCTCTACGTGCTCCTGGTAATGACTCCTACCTTTACTATTGTATGACAAGCACGCTCAGGGTAGCATCGTGGAGCCACACATACGTACATATTCATAGGTATGCATGAATAGCTATAAAGAACATAGTAATTGTTCGTATATCCCGCTTCAAGGTTCACCATTCTTAGTGGAAGTTTAGGCAAAAGCTTGCTTATAAATATTTCTTCGCTTTTATTTTGGTTTAATTTCTATTACATGTCTAAAAAGTTTCACTTGCATTCGATTTAATCTAGCTAACACTTTCGTTATTTAACCAATACTACTTACACACATACATACATGCTCGTAGAAGAACATCAGCAAATACATGTGCAATCTACCATTGTTCACCGCCACATTTATCCATACAAGAATGTGGCCTATGTAAATGAGTAAGTTGTGGTATGAGCGATACACAGACAATAAATTTTATTGTAGGCTGCGAATAATGGAGTAAAATTAAGCAGCAAGAAGGTGAAGAGGGAGTCAAATTTTGAAATTCTCACAAAAATTTTATATCATAACTCACGTCAACTTTGCAATGAAAAGTTTTCATAAAGGTCGTTACAAAACCATCTTTATGAGCGGTGAAAAAACCAAGGATACACAATACATATATATAAAATTATATATATATATGTATATGACTCATACGTTATCATCTATCGAGCATTTTTTTGGGACTTTTACACAACTTTTTTTTATTTTTTCTTTTATTAGGTGAAAGTCTATTTCCCAGAAAATATTTTTTCTTTAGGCGCATTTATAGGATAAAATAAGTTTGAGTTTATTGATGAATTTAACAATAATTTTCTAATAAGAGGTGCTTTATTTTGCATAAATAGCATAAATATGGCACTTTTGAAGCTGTACATTTTTGATATTTGACATGCAAAAACTATGCCAGTAATAAAAATGCAACGGTACACGCCTTAACAAAGCTTTGAAATTATGAAAATTCACTATAGAAACTCCAACGAAAAATCAACTTGACTGATCAGTCTCATTTCCACCTCGCTGGCTACGTCAACAAGTTAAACTGTCACATTTGAGGGCAGGAAAACCCGATATTTATTATTGAAAAAACCTCTCCTTCATATAGATGTAACTTTTCGAAAATAAAGCTGGAGCAACAACTTACTTCTTATGGCCGGAAGTGGATGATATTGATCTCAACAAGACGACGGCGCTAAGTGCCACTCAAGCAAAGAAACTATCGCTGTTTTAACTGAAAAGTTAAAGTCTCGAGGACGGGAGAGCGAGTGGCCACCGAGATCTTATGATTTAATACCTTGCGACTTTTTATTTTATGGCCACGTGAAACAGGCTAATGTGGATTCTAGGCCTCAAAGATGGAATTCATTAGGCTTTTAAGGGCACACGGCAGTCACTTTGAAAATTGGTGATGGAGAATTTCTTCAAACTTAAACGCGTTTGTAAGTGTAGCCGTGGCGGCCACTTTGCTGATATTGTTTTCCTTTATTAATGGCATAACTTCTCTCTTACAGTGAAATAAATATTCGATCATTTATCTAACAAACATTATTTTGCTTTGGGTATCAAAATAGCAGCTTTTATTGGAAAACTCTATATAAAGTAGTAAGAAAATGAAATTTTGAAATTTTATTAAATATTTCTCCAACCCTCGGTGTGAGCGCCCTAATAAAGTTTTATATAAATTAGTTCCACCAATGCAATACTACAATCTTCTTTTACCTTTGCAAAATTTCTTTAAAAATGTTGCATTGGGTCATTTCTGACTGACTCATATGAAATTATATATGTATAAATGTACGCTCAGATATCTTCCCAAGGTTATACTAATCTACGTGCGTGTAAGCCAACTTTGTGGTTATTCCAGTTTGTTTATTTTCCACACTTTTCTCATGTAGTTATGTCTGTGTGTTTGAGTTTGTGGTTGACCACAACTACAAGAACGTATACAAATACGAAACTATGTATATAAATGCAGAGAGAGCGAGAGAGAGAGCAGAGATTTCCATATTGTAATTTATTTGCGTGCATAGAAAGTGAAAATTTGTCATTTGTCTTTTGGCCGAGTAAATTAGACTACATTATTTATGTGTAAATAAAAAATACGTACAGCACTAACCACATACATTTGCAGATAGAATGATTCAAATGTGGTAAGAGATTCATTTGGAAATTGTAAATAAAATTCAAGAGCGTAAATGTCCACATTTAAGGGGACCCTCCCTTGATATTAGGCAAAAATAAGGCAAAGTTTGAATAAAAAGAACGTATAAATTTCAGTTTTTGACTGTAAAAATTGTTTATTATTTGAAATTTTAAAACGGCAAAAAAATAGTTGAATTTCGAAATGACGATGTTTTTTATCGGCTTCTGAACGAAAAGCATGGCCCAATAACTTCAAGCTGACAGCCTCTTGTAGTAGACTGAAATCAAAAATCGTTGTCACTACTTGAAGATCATTAAATTTTCTACGTCCTGAACATCAATTGAGACAATTTGAGCGATAAATTACTTGAATAATGCTCATGGTAATTATAAAGTTTATTTTTTTGCTACTGTCTTCCCTTCAATTACGTTAAAAAATATAAATAATTCATTATTAACGCTAATCTTAGGTTCAAGACGTACAAAAACTATTTAGTTTGAAACAGTTTTTAGATAAATTGGATGCCTAGATCAAGTCCGGAACTTGAAGTTAGATCGAGAAAAACGCGTTGAAAGCCTTTTGAAGGTTCGTCTTGCGTGATTGCCTGCGTGGGCCAGGTGTATTCGAGAAGCTGCCATCTGAAAAATATTCATCGTATTCGAAAATTGCTTTAAACACATACTCAACAAATATATGGCTTTCATATTTTGCGTAAAAAAAAAAAATCGATTTTTTGATCCAAAATCATGGGAGGGTCCCCTTAACACTTTTTTCGAAATCTAATTTTTCTGTGATTATTTACAGAGCGAAAAATTCTAAATTTATTATACTACGATATGGCGCTTCAACTGATTATTTTATAGACAATCAAAGGAAGATACATTAAATTGGTCTAGTGTGTTTTCACCATTTTCAAAATGAATTGTAAAGATTTGTTCTTACTACAGGACAAAAAGCCAGGTTTATGTTGCTCAAATTTTTGCTACAGCGTTGATTAATCTATAACCAATTTATTTGTGAAACGGTAACCCAGAAATAACATAGTATATATTACATTAGATAAAAAGTTTGGCTTAAACTTTGATTTAAAATTTGGGTTTTAAATAATTCTTTGAATTACAGCTAATATTTTGTGCGCTAAAAATGATACTGCTGCATTTAGGGATCAGAGAACTCACACGTAACCGGCGCAGCATATGGACCAGCGGCGTAATTCGTTCATATTTTTTTCGAAACAAGAAGTGAGTTGCCGTAGCCGTTAAAGTCAATCGATGCCATGACAAATTTAGAGAATTGTTTGTATCCAAATGTCAATGATAATGACGTAAGCAATGTGTGATTTCACAGGGCCCCGCAGCGTGCCGCAGAGCCAAGTTACAATTGATCTTCTGGGCACTGTGCTTGGAAATCCCTAACTAGTCGAGACAAGATGTCAACTGGTCGCCTCAAAGTGGCAATTTGACACCGTTGGAATATTTTTTGAGAAATCCCATTTAGAATAAGTGGTGCGCCACCATTCAGGGACGTTTCAAGACCTGAAACAAGAATTTGGAAAGCCTCACAATTGAAAATGGGTTGAAAAGTTTTACTGCATTGATTAAGTATTATAGTTTTTTAAGGATAAAAATATATGCATATAAAGGGTGATATTTTAACTATTATCTTTTTGACAACACTGGTTTAAACAGCTGACGCACTTTTCGTGTTTCGTATCATTGTCAAACATATTCCGTTTGGGCTATAATTTAAGCATGAATGGTCTTACAAACGAACAACGCTTGCAAATTATTGAATTTTATTATTAAAATGCGTGCTTTGTTAAGAAAGTTAAAACAAACCAAATGTGTTTAGCGACGAAGCTCATTTTTGGCTTAAAGGGTGCGTATATAAGGAGAATTGTCCATTTTGGAGCGAAGATCAGCCAAAAGCATTGAAAGAGGTACCAATGTATCCAGAACAAGTCACAAGTCTGGTCACAAGTAACTCTTTTTTTACCAGAACGCAAGAGCTTGACTTGCATGACATATGGTTTTAACAAGACGATACCACATGTCGCACAGCACGCGAAACAATGGCCTTTTTGAAAGGAGAGTTCAGTGAACATTTTATTCCACGTTCGGAACCGCTCAATTGGGCGCGTGCGATTTAACGCCTTTAGACTAGTTTTTGTTTGGCTATCTTAAATCTAATGTCTATACAGACAAGCCCGCTTCAATCGACGCATTGGAGAACAACATTGAAGCGTTAATTCGTGAGATACCGGCCGAAATGTTGGAAGAGTATGCCACAATTGGACTAAGCGGATGGACCATTTGAGGCGCAGTCACGGTCGCTTGCATAAAATAAAATTCTAACATTAAATTATATGCACCGTACTATCGATTCAAATAAAGATTTCATGCAGTTTTTTGAATTATATGTTTTTTTTTTTTTGAAAACTTTCCTATAGCTCTTAAAAATCACCCTTTGCTTATACTTATAGCAGAGCATAGAATTTTATTTTGATTTATGCCTTTCCAAAAACAGAAGTTATATTGTAATCCAACATTTAAAAAGGCTTCTGGTTTGAAAAATGATGTTTCACCATTAACCGTTATATCGAGCCATTTCAATGAATGCAAAATAATTCATAAATTTTCATTCATTCATATTTTTTTTTTAAACAATTTAGGTAATTGTTTAAAAAAGTTTTGAATTTGAGTAATAAAAATAGAAACATAGATTTTTTTAAGGCATATTTGCTTACCTCTTCGTGCTCTCGCTGGAATTTTTCCTTCTTGCGCATTGCTTCTTGTACTTTAAGCTGAAAATGATAATAAAAAATAAGCATAATATTAAAACTCAGTATTTTAATGACACGCGAAAGTGAAAGTAGCACTTTAACGACTAAGAATGTTGTGAAATAAATATTCAGAAAACTTATTTGGCAGCTTTTTGGTAACTCAAAAGTATGCAAATACAGTACAGATACTTATATGTATATATTTACACACACGTATATACATTACATTTTATATTTATGTGCATAAATTCGATGCAAAGTAAAGGAGATCAACTAAAGTGTAGGTGTGAGTGTAATAAAAATAGCGTAATCCTTGCGGCGTGACGACGTTGCTGACGGTGACGACATGGCGTATGTGAAACACTTTGCCAAAGCAACAGCCAACCAGGTGAGCATGACACTCATACGCCCTGTAGGCACAGACGGTGTTGGTGGCGTCGTAGCTCCTACCGTTAAATGCTTATTATTTTTAACGCGAAAAACAAACTTTAAGTTCCGTTAGGCGGGCGTAGGCAGATAAGTTAGTACAGACACCTGCCTAGATATGGGGCAAGCGCAGCAGCTGTCGCGCTTACTATCATTGGCAGTAAGGCGCGCTGCACACAAGGCAATGCCAAAAACTAGCTAAAGTGTGCTTGAATTGACAAAAGGAAGTTAAAAAGGATGAAGAAAAACAATGCAAGAACAGAATGCAGAGTCGTATGCGATTAAGGACGTTTTTTCCCTTTCGTACTTTTGCTTTAAAATTTTTACAGATATGTTTTTAGAAAAATATTGTCAGCGCAGCCTAATCTTAAATTTTATCGCCAGCGTTATAAGTGAGCAATCACTGTGAATGTGTTGAAACTAAGGCCTTGCATCCGTAAATTTCGGGAGTTGAGAGTGACAACAAAACAAAAACAATTTGGTATACTCTAAAATTGCACCTGAATGATAGCGATCGAGGCATATTTAAGAGTTCAAAATTTCCATGTGTTTGAGCGCATCTTATTGTAGTAAAAGTTGGCGAAGTAACAATATCAACAATTGCAAGCAAAACTTTGTCTCAAAATGTGTGCGTTGCTACAGAAAAGCCCTCTAATGTATGCAGAACAGCAGCAGCAGCAGATGCCAGGCATATTTTTGTTAAGCAACTACTACATATGCAAAATGCCTATGAAAGTGTGTAGTCATAAAGGTAGCTACACAGCGAGTTTTCTTCTATATATAAATGAATTTTCTTTTTGTATAGAAAGTTATGAAAGTGTCTGCTGAGAATATGCATAATAAATGCAATGACAATAACAACAACGTAAAAAGGACAAAAAAAAAAAAAAAATCGCGGTAGCATTTTGTAACGATAACACATAAGTACCGCCCAAGCCACACCTGCCCGACGACAGCAAAAAAAAAACTTTTTTTCTTTTCGCGTATCTTTATTGCTTGGCATTTATGTATCAGTTGCACGTGCATCGCAACGCGACCCTTCACTATGTATCTTTGTATCTCTCTAGTTACTTTGCTGATTTTATTGCTCGCTTGCTGTCGTCGTTGTTGGGAAGTTGTGCGCATGGTACATCAGCGCTGGCTGGCTCTTCTGTGTAGACTTGGCCTAGCTGATATGTATTTGTATACTGCAGGTGGTGAAGTTGTTGCTGTTGTCATTAATAATGAATGTCGACGGCAATGAACTTTTAAATATTGTATACAAATTGTTGTTGCCGGTGTTCTTGCTCCCCTGCATTGGTATTGCTTACAGTCAACTCCCACTACGCTGCCGCAAGACAATGTCTTTACACTACTGGCACTAAGATTGTTATTGTTTTTGGTAGGTAAGTTGCTTTTTAATGATTCGCCTAAGCCTGGTTAATTCGGCGGGTGACTGAGTTATGTTCGCAATTGCGTCATTCAATCTATTCTGCTGCACAACATGAGCAGAAGCGATATAAAAACGATAAAACGACGAAGAATGAAATTTGTCAATTGAAAATATTGGGCTCTAAACGTCCAAAAACAGCTGCAGGATAATTATATATAATTAAATCTGTACTGATGTCAATATATACCGTAATTCAGTATATTAAATTTTTATAATATGCAATAAAAGCGAGGGTGCATATTTGATTGTGTTTTAAGAATTCACCGAGTTTTCTCTGCGGAAAAATTATTTACAACAATATTATGCATTCTAATGTGTTGATTAAGTACGTACGAGTCTTTAAAGGGGAAGAGTACTAAGCATATACTCGTATACTGGCACTTTGGCGATTTTCAGCCGTGCTCCTCCTAATATTTGCGGTTTGCTCCCTTCAACAAATGAAGAGCCAAATAATTTATTTTAATCCGTCCTCCAGCGGCCGATGGATCACACGAATCAGGCACGACCTCAAGTAAACAGAAATAATTTTTCACAATCTGGGATGCTGGTTGAAGCAGAATTCGAACCCTGACTTCGAGCTTTGACTTCTTCGACCACTTGGATGTCGCACTTAACTACTGATGGTAGCACACGGTCTGAAAAATCCTGGGTCCAGCAACATCAAAAATCGGTTTTTATTAATCAACAACAACTCCGTCGAAAGCATAATCATTCCAGCGCCGCTCCAACATTTCAACACCACTTTTGTGATTTATGTTTTGGCTCAAAATACAGTTCAGTTTCAGCCATAAGCTCTTAGCCGGTCGAAATTTTTTTCCGGTGAGCTTTTTTTTTGAGGTTGTAAGTACTCAGTGGACTCTGGCAGTCGAACTTGTGCAATGCGTTGGTTCAGATAACAATTTAAAGTTCAATTCGCGTCGTTGTGGCATTTACTGACTTGTGACGCGGCAAGTTTTCTTTCTGATTTGCAAGATGCGGTGGTTCCTTTTAGCTTCGTACTTCATTACCGTTACCTACCTCCTCAAGTCCCTCAATGAACATTACACCATTCCATGATTTGAACGCCACAAACTATGTAGTTGATTGTTATGCTTATGGACGCATTGAACAAGGATCACCAGGTGTATTTTGAAGTTAGAGCTAAAACCGGGTTGTAGCCCGTCGTTGGGCCAACAAATTTCTTGCATTCTACACATATGTGACTGTGTAAGGCAGAAAAGTTTTTTTTTTTTTGTTATTTGAAATTCCTAAGAATTTCTCGTGATCTCGGTGGTTTTGCTTATCGCTAATGCATTCTATTTCATCCTGATCTGATATAAAGCTCATACGGAAATTGTAGATTTTGGAGTGAAGATCAGCCAGAAGCATTGAAAGAGCTACCAATGCATGCTGGGAAAGTCACAGCTTGTTGCGGTTTATGGGCTGGTGGTATCATTGGACCGTACTTCTTCAAAGATGATAGAAATCGTAACGTAACGGTGAATGGTGAGCGCAACCGTGAGATGCTATCAAACTTTTTTTATACAAAATGCAAGAGGTTGACTTGCATGACATGTGGTTTCAACAGGGCGGTGCCACCTGCCACACAGCAAGCGTAATAATGGACTTATTGGGAGGCGAGTTCAATGAACATGTTACTTCACGCTCGGGGCCGGCGGCCAATTGCTTAGATCGTGCGATTTAACGCTTTTAGACTACTTTTTGTGAGGCTATGTTAAATCTAATGTCTATACTGACAAGCCCACTTCACTTGACGCTTTGGCGGACAGCACTGAAGCATTTATTCGTGAGATAGCAGCCGATATGTTGAAAAAAGTATGCCGAAATCGAGCTATATGGATAGACCATTTCAGGCGCAGTCTTGGTCATTTGCATGAAATCTTCTACAAACATTAAATTATATGGACCGTACTATCGATTAAAATAAAAATTTCATGCCTTCTTCAGATTTTAATGTGATTTTTTTTTTGAAAAACCTTCCTATAGCTCTTAAAACATCACCCTTTAAATAGGAAATGAATATTTTTTATCTTACGTCAAGCTAGTCAGCAAAAAGATTTGCTCCTAATTCTTGATCGTCTCTCTCAAGTAACTAAACTCAAAAAAATTTCACAGATTCAAATATACGAGAATATAGAGCACAGCCAAACTCTGAACTAATTTATTTCATCTAAACATAAATAAAGAAGGTCAAGCAAAAAATTGTATTTGTAAGAAAGCGCAAATAATTTCAGTACTTACTCTATGGATTGTCTCTTCAAAACTTTGATGTTGCCCTCCATTCATTGTTTGAAAATGTCTCAGTCGTTCATTCGCCACCTGCAAGAATTTTTAAAGTACATTCATTAATATAATTTCATTAAAAGCTTAATATGTTAAACGAAATTTTATTATATAAAAATTCAGCACAATCGATATGAGATCAAAAAAAATATATATATCTAGTGCGTAAGCAATTTGCCCTACTCATGTAGGGATCAATATGAAAATCTGGCGACCGAAGTCTAGAACATACTTTGGGTATGGAGGAAATACTTCTTCAGCCTGCTGTATGGCAGTGAAAGTGAAAAACATGCAGATGAGAAACCAAAAACTCCAACCGATAAAGATGGAAAAGACGTTACATTAACCGATTATGACGAGGTTCGAATAGTGATTTCCTGCTTAAGAACAGCCCAAAGACTGAGCTATTTTAACATGGTTGTGGAGAGCTGTGGTCGGATTAGTCCATGTCGCATGTCCGATGATTGGAACCTAAGTGTGCTCTGGCATAAAAAGGGGGAGAGATCCCTCGGTCTGCGCCGTGTGATTAGCCTCAGTAACATCGCTTAGAAGGTATTATCAAGCGTATTGTGTGAAAGGCTAAAGCTCAGCATCAACAAGCTGACTGGACCTTGCCAGTGTGGTTTTATGGTAGACCTGGTAAATCAACCACTAACCAGTTATTCGCAAATGACATAAACCACCTTCAAATCGATTTTAAAGCTCTTTCGACGGCGCGGTAAGATGCTGCCACGCCGCTATGTCTGAATTTGGTATTCCTGCAGAATCTATGCTGCTGTAAAAACTAACGCTGAATAATACCAGAAGCGCGGTGAGAATTTGGAAGGACCTTCCCGAGCCGTTCGGTACCAAACACGGCTGTAGATGACTCTTTGTGGACTGATTTCCTCAATGTAATGATGCAGAAACAAAGAGCTGCAGAACTAAACAGAGAAGGCAAAATGATTTATAAGAGCGTACAATTACTCATGGCTTTTAACAACCACGCCGTTAGATAAGCTTTTTCCAAAGTTTACAAAGAAGCAAAGCCAATGGGTCCGGTAGTAAATGAACGAAATATCTCCTGTCATCAAACACAAAGTTTTCGTATAAGCGACTAGTTTTCCATGTTACTGTTGACAGCCGTAATTTGGAGGTCATTAAAAATTTTGTCTATTTAGGGACCGGCATTAACTTACTCCTGCCAAAAGGTGCTACTTTGGACTGACTAAGCAATCGCAATGTAAAGTCTTTTCTCGATGAACCAACGCCAAGCTAGAGAAGACACTCATAAAACTCGACCTACTATATGATTCATAAATATGAACGACGATGACATCCGATGAGTCGGCCTCAAGAGTTCTTGATAGAAAACTTGTCCGAACGATTCATGATCTTCGGCCTAGTTGCACTTGATATTTCCAACTGGTCCCAAAACAGCGAAAAGTACAATACAATTGAATGGCGAGCTATTTTTATTCGGTAATATTTAATAGTAGAAGCGGTGCAAACGCCAGTGTAGAAGTGGAGTCAATCTGCATTGGTCGCAATAAAAAATATTGCAGTTCAGCAGCGCCACAAAATTGGCTTGTAGGATAGAGACAAAGCTGTTGTACATCCAAGGGTATACAATTTATTTGATTTAAATTTAATTACGAAAAAAAATGTCTAGCAACTCTTTGAGCTTTCCAAAAAAAACCGAAAACTGTTTAGCTCCGTGAAAATGTCTGATTTAAGAAAACTTGAACTCTCTCTCAGCAGGCTTTGTTCGACAAAAATTTTTGCTTATTTTTCACATTTTTGAATGAAAAATTTATTCAGCTTGGGTAAAAAGGCTCTCTAAGAACTACTTTTAAGCGAATTGAGCTCTTTGTTATGCTATCTTTTTATATTCATAATTAATGAAATTTATGAAACAAAAATGTATTTTCATCTCAAAATTAATTCACGGCCAATATGTCCATTGTGGCCTACGCAGATAAAATATGTTTAACCCACCCACCAAATATTTCTTGATAGAATCAAGAAAAATGGTGTTGGCCTTTAAAAAGTTGCTCTTATTTTACCCTCAACGAAGGGGTAAAGTAAAAGCAGAAATAAATAACTGAAATGTTTATCAGTAATTTTTCTTCATAATTTTGCTTGCTTCATTCATTGCTGCTCAACGACCTATTGCTCATTTTTTAATTAGACAGATAAGAAATAAAGAAGAAAAAAAATTGGAAAATGCACGGTTGATGTTGGCAGCAAAATCACGCTTTGCTTTTGGTAAATTTATTGTTTCCGCATTTTGCGGCGTCCAACCACCTGCGCTGGACGCTTTATCCCTTTTTTTGTTAGCAAATTTTCAATGGATCCTTTTTTACGGTCACAGGTGTTATCCTTCCACACGCATATACATACACATGTATGAATGGCTGTGTGTGCGTACATACAATATTTATTCTTGTAAGGTTTTCCTTCCATACTTTCGCGTTATTTATGACTATGTTCGGGCGCATTAAGTGCTTGTTTACTCGGCTGTGTGTTATCTCGGTGTCCAATGGCATCACAAAGTCGGCGGCACTGCAATCGTTTCATTATCAAGAATTTTCACGTTTTTTTTGTTTACTCTCTAAGACATTTATGCTGGTTTCTTACGCCTTTTATGCCTCCCCTGGTAAATGTTGGTTTAATAAGAGAGAAGAAAAATGTCTTGAATGAATCCTTTCGGAATAACAGATAAAACGAGACGACGTCAGCGGTGCATTTAACCTTTGCAATGCACAGACAACACGAAGGCGTCGGACACTGGTGTAGAGGGCGGCTGTATGTTGCATATGGAGGCAGGAAAAAATTTGCATGTCCCAAGGGAGAAGATTAAATATGACAACAAAAGAATAAACGCGAAAATAAAGAAACGTGGCTCAGTGGCAATATAAGCAGAAATAGCAATAGAAAGCAAAAAAAAAAAAAAAATAACAAAAAATAATAAAACCAAAAAACTAAGAAACCCCCCTCAAAGCTAAGAAAATGTAAACAAAATTTGCAAAACAAGCATTCAAAGAGCTCACTCCAAAGCGTTTGATTGGAGGTAAGCATGCTCTACGCTTGCCTCCATAAGACGAAGAAACGTAAAAGATACTCATGAAATATTTAGGGAAGTATTTTGTAGTAGCAATATGGGAACAATACTCGTCTATGCGCCACTCGTACGCTAATATAAAAACACTTGCTTTTTTACGACATCATACATATGTAAAATGAACGAGTATTACTTGTATAAAGCATACTTTTAGGGGTATAAAGCACTTTTAAACACGTATCAGCATCTGTGTGGAGAGCGGAACATGAAAAATTATATGGATGCATGATTTGTGCTCAATTTAAAGGCGATAGAAAAGCGGCGTTAAATGTTTACTACCATTTCGAAAGTCTCGAAAACAGTGTATCCCGGAAATTTGCTTCTAAAAAGAAACAAGCGAACTCTAATTTTGCATATATATTATAATATGATATTAAAATATTGCTAAAAGGCCCACGCTTGATGAATAATTTTCAGGAGAGAAAGCAGGTTTGCTTTTTATTAAATTCTGCAGCTCAAATTGGTAATGTTTCTATTTAAAAATAGATTTGCGTTTCATAGAAATTTGCAGAAATTAATAAGAAACATTTGAATTAAACTCTGGACGATCACGTTTAGAAGTAAGAATCTCATTGAGACTTTATTTTGTTTAATTTTCAAAGAGATTGAAAAAAGTTATTGACTATTATTATGAGGTCGACGATAGAACACTGCATTGAATACTCTGAAAGCAAGGGTTCGAATCCTGGTTCAGTAACTGGACGATCTTACGTACAATTCAATGTCGTCTTTGAGAAATTTACAACCCTCAAAATATCTTTTTTTCGTCTTTGCCATCCTCTCTTAGTCGAACCCAAATGTCTAATTTTACTTAAATTTTGCAATGCCAGTGGCTTCTGTGACTTGTTTAGATTTTCATATTTATTTACATATCAAGTTGGTTGTATATGTAAGTGTTTTGTACAATTAATTATTTTTACTTACCCTTACTTGTGCGGCAGTTTGTTGATTATTTCTATCTCGTCGATTTACAGTTTTCAGACCCTTTAAAAGTCTCGCTAAGGTGGTGCGCTTTTTTGTCTCACGACCCTCTGCAAAGGAAAAGTTTAGATTTAAGAGAAATAAATAAAGCAAATATAAAGGTTTTATAAATTGGTAAATAGAACTTCATTTAAAGCTATTATTGCCATGTAAGACCCGACAATCTCTTATATCTGCTTAGCGCATAGAACGTGCTTATGAGCGCCGCCATCGTTACGATGTCAAAGTCGTGCTTGGAAATTTTAGTGCCATGCCTGGCCAAAAAAGTATTTTTGTAACATCCCAACCCAAATATTTAAGGATTATACGCTTTGCAAGGGCTCAAAAATAGGCTTGAGCGCATTTCGCTCAATTTTTTGTAACAAATTCGAAAATGGTCAGTCTGGTGACGAACCTGGATCATATGTATAAGTACGATCCAGAAACCAAACAGCAGTACACGGTATGAAGCCCAACATTAGCAAACCCTACCGTAAAATCTAAACAACAAAAATCGGCAGTAAAAGTGATGATAATGGGTGCGTAAATAAGCAGAATTGTCGATTTTGGAGTGAAGATCAGCTATAAGCCTTGCAAGAGCTACCAATGCATCCAGAAAAAGTTACAGTTTGATGCGGCTTATGGGCTGGTGGTATCAAAGATGATGCGAATCGTAAGGTGGCTGTGAATGGTGGAAGGAGTATGCCAAAGTTGGACTAAGCAGATGGACTATTTGAGGCGCAGTCACGGTCAACATTTGCATTAAATAATCTTCAAACATGCCTTAGTGGGCTGATCTGATCGTTTACATGTAACAGTGTATCAGCGTATCAAATTTGGTCGACATATCTCAACTAGTTTGTGTACCAATAGATGGACAGATGGACTTGGCTTAGTCTGCTTAACTCGTCGTTCTGAAATATATGCAGACAATAGGGAGATCGTAGAGATCGAAAAATGATCAGATTAGCAGAATCTTACAAATAAGCATGTATGATAACACATATATATATATACATATATGCCAGAATGCCCAAAAAAACGCAAATGGTAGAAACACAAATATTTAAATTTCTCACAAGAACATGGAATTTCCAGACTAAAACAAGAGACAATCTAGAGGTAGGTCATCAATATTGGCTAAAAAATTAGCCACTACTCCAATGAGAATGTTTATTTTGCAGAAATTTCAAAAATCACTAAATGTGTCTTGTGGCAGAAATATGATGTTACCACGAAAGTAATGTACGTGGTTTCCTTTTCATTATGTTTTCTTTATTTATTTATTACCGATAATTTATGTAAGTACTTAAATACAAACATATAAATGTTCACGTTCTACGGGTTACAGCTAATTCCAAAGATGTGGTTAACGAATTTCTCGTTGAATACATATTTTATATAAAAACATTTGCTCTGAATGACTGATTGATCGACCCACAACCCAAACCACAAATCATACAAGCCTCGAACTTAGAGGATGTGCTCTGGGAATGACGTAGACTTCTGATGAGAAATAATTTTTCGGGAAGTGAATTTGGGACAGAAAATAAAAATCTTTTAAATCAATCGATTTACACGAATTTTCGTTCAGAGGTAGGTCTTTGCTTAGATTCACATGTCTCTTTGCTCAAGCTTACGTGGGGAACACTTTTGCTTCCAGAAAGTGAACTTGGGTTCGCCTTATATCGATTGATCGTACTTATAATTCGAGTTGCTTTAATTATTGTATCATTACGAAAAGATTATAATAAAGCTCGAAAACGATTTGAAGAACCTCTGCAATAATACTGCCAGAAGAATCATATGAGGTTCATAAAAGAAACCCTTGAACGTCTGCTTGAAATAAAATTATTATAAGATTTTAAATAACATAAGTACATGATTTACTGTAATTATTTCTAGGCAGATGTTTAGAAAACTGAATTCAAAGTTGATGCGAAGAAACTTAAAATTAGCTTAGTATTTAACGCAGTTTCAGGAAAATCGAAAAACTTACCTGCGTTTGGTGGAAATTCGTAAAAATATGCTGATCTTGGACTCAGGCAGCTGTAATTGTTGAGAAAGAGAGTAAGAAAGAGAAGAAAATTCATAAGAAGTTGCACAGACAAATATATTAATTATATACAAGGGCATGCATGCATGCATGTACATAGCTGGGTAGGAGTGTGCCTGCGAAACGTTCAACTCACTTTTGTTGCAGGAAATTCAAGTGTGCTACATTCGGCGGGAGAGTTTGATGGGCTTGCAGCGCTTGATGATGATGCTGTTGCTGCTGCAAATGCTGCTGGCTACCTGGCACTAAAGGTAATTGCTGCTGCTGTTGTTGTTGTTGTTGCTGTTGTGCCTGCGCCTGCTGTTGTTGTTGCAGTGTATGCTGCTGCAATAATTGTTGCTGCTGCGTGAGACCACCACGCGCAACACGCGGCGCAAAAACACCATAACCAAAGCCATAGATTTCGTCCTCTTCCTTATCCGACAGACAACTCGAGGGCTGCAATGAAGAAAGTGTTAAAAATTAGAGTAATATGTGAAACAATATATATATATACAATAACTAAGTATATGCAGTTATAGTATCTTATGTGTTTGAATAAATAAATAAATTAATTAATAAATAGAAAAAAACAAATAAATGAACAAATAATAAATAAATAATTAAATAAGTAAATAAATAATTAATAAGCAAATAAATAAATAAATAAATAAATAATAAAGAAATAAATAAATAATAAATGAATAATTAAATAAGTAAAAAAAAATAAATAAATAATAAATAATAAAAAAATAAATTAATAAATAATAAATAATTAATAAATAAATAAAAAATATATAAATAAATAAATAAATAAATAAATAAATAAATAGATAAATAAATAAATTAATTAAAAAATAATAAAAAAGTAAATAAATAGACAAATAATTAAAAAAGGATGTAATTAAATAAATAAATAAATTAATTAATAAATAAAAAAATATATAAATAAAAAAATCAATAATAAATAATTAAATATTAAATACAAAATATATAAATAAATAGATAAATAAATAAATTAATTAAAAAAAAAATAAAAAAGTAAATAAATAGATAAATAATTAAAAAAGGATGTAATTAGATAAATAAATAAATTAATTAATAAATTAAAAAATATATAAGTAAAAAAATAAATAAATAAATAAATAATAAATAATTAAAAATGAAATAAAAAATATATAAATAAATGGATAAATAAAGGAATAAATAAATAATGGATAATAAATAAATAAATAAATAAATAATTAGATAAATAAATATTTAAAAAAGGATGTAATTAGACAAATAAATAAATAAATTAATAAATAAACAAATTTATAAATAAATAAATAAAAAAATAAATTAGTACAAAAAATAAATAAATAAATTAATTAATTAATAAATAAACATATAAATAAATAGATAAATAGATATATAAATAAATAAAAAAATAAATAAGTATATAAATAAATAAATAAACAAAAAAATTAATAAATAAATAATTAAATAAATAGATGAATACAAAAATAAATAAATTAAAATATAAATAAATAAATAAACATAAAAATTTAAAGATGAATAACCAACCTTGTGTTGGTATGTGTTTGCATTAATTTAAGTGGGCAGTTTTCTGTGGCACAACATTGCCAGGCAACTCAAAATACGCCAAATAGAAAGTAAAGCATTATAACAAACTAATTTAAGGTGGGGGGAGAACTGCAGAAAGATGCCACAAACACTAAAAAGTGGCCATAAAATACTAATGAAAAATTAAAGTGAAAGAAATTGTGAGCCAAAGAAATAGGAAACATATTTTCTTAGCTGCTGTGAGCGAAACTCTTGCGAACTCTTGCATTTCCACTGGTCAGTCGGCCGTAAACTTGACTAAAAAGTATAGTAATTCGAGAGCTTTCATGCTGCCACCAAGTGTTTGTGCAACTTTAACGCCAAAACGAATTAACGCCTACGAGACTTGATGTTTTCGAGGAGGAAAAAATTGAGAAAACTTAGTAGTGAAAGCAAGAAATGCCACAAATGGTAAAATAACACAAAACAGAAATAAAAACAGAATATAAAAAGTAATAAGGAACTGCAGGAAAGTAGTCCAAAAGCTATCACAAAACCGAAGTATTATTGCGAAAAAATAACTGTGTCGAGCGCAAGTATTTGGGGGTTTCGCAGTCAATACCGATTAAAAGAAATTCTATTTGCAGTTCAGCATTAACTGGGCAATGTGGAGCCACTGAAAGCAGCAACTTGCAGCTGTGATAAAAGTCGAATTATTTAACAAACTCGTCTTACTGTTATTTAGGCAATTTGAATCTTTTTTTTTTATTGTGTAAAACAAATGAACGGCTTGATGATTGGCACTACACTACATACATACATCCATACATTTTTATGATATTTTGTATTTTCTATAGCCAAATAATAAGACTGCAGGAATATATGCGCATACCACCCAATTCCCACCATTGCTTTTACCGAGCTTTGGAAATTTGGTTTGCACATTCGATTGCTTGGGGACCACAAATACACAGCTGCGGTTTTCACTAGATTTCAAGATAAACAGGAAATTTGAAGAAGGCTTTTGGCTTGATTGGGCAGCGCCGACGAGATGAGAGGAGTGAGAGACCCAAAGTAGATCAGGGGCAAAAGCGGAAGTAAACAGCGAAAAGTGGCAGTTGCCGACAGCAAATTTATTTCAACTCTTCATACATACACACATACATACATACGCACATTTGTTTGCATAAATATTTGTTGTTATAAGTAAGGTATAAATATTAAGCTTGAGTGTTTTATTTAGATTTGTAAGCGAGTAGCTTTGTAGGGGTATTGGAGTAAATGTAATTCTTCTTCTTTACTTTATTCTCTTGTTATGTTCATAATTTGACTTTCGTTTAGTCCCATTGGACGTGTCAACACAAAGCAATTGTTGGCGTACAGAAATATATATATATATGTATATGTATATGTGCATATAATTTTTAATTCATGAAATTACTAATATTTGAATACCAAAGCAAAAGAAGAGAAAATTTGTTGCGTTGACCTTCGAGCGAAATAAGTAATGTTTAAACAAAAATTTATTTGATCCAATTTCGGAAGATTTTTGACCATGTGTAGAAGTTCAAGCAAGTGAGGAAAGTTCTCGATTGTTATTCGCTTGGTAGGGGCTGGAAAATATTCTATTGCATGTGGTTCAAGCGGCTCACGAAATCCGGTCTTAGAGTGAGTATCCCCTGGGTAAGTAACAAACAAACATCCGTTTGGAGGCGAGCTAAAGTCAGTGAAAAATAAACTCAAATGAAAAATATTAACATGCTTCGGATGAGAGACGATCACGATTTGAGGGCATGCACCTGGAATGTTCGGTCTCTTAGTTGGACCGGTGCCGCTGGCCAATTTGCTCATGCTCTCAAAAGACTAAAGGCTGACATTAACGCCATTCAAGAATTGCAATGGATCAGAGAAGGACGGAAGAAAGTTGGCCCTTGCGACATAGACTAGAGCGGACATATAAAGGAGTTCGCAGAGTAATGGCATTCACTTCAGTGGATGAACGTCTGAACGAAATTCTTCGATACCGACGCCAAAGAGAGACGATATGGCCAAGTACGCCTTTAGTGAGCGCCTCGAGCAGTCACAACATACAGCCGATCGTATTTTTATTCTGACATACCTGCTTTCTGAAAGCACTAATCAGCAACTCGGTATAAGAAAATTGTGGAACGGCATCTTACGTACCTTCAGTAAGAAACAATTGGTTTTCGACCATGCAGGAAAAAAGAACTGATACGATGAGGAATGCCAAGCTGATAGAATCCAGACTACCCACCACGAAACCTTGTGATCGAATACAGCGCGTGCCAAGTGAAATAAATATCGTGAGCTGAAGAGGGAAGCTTAACACATTTGCAGACAAACGAGAAGGTGGCTGAAATGAGCGCGTGTCAAAAGCTTGCGAAGCTGGCCAATGGGAACACCGCTTGAAATTTATACGGATGTTTTCAAGATCTGACCACCTCTTGTAGGACCCAGAGATATGACGATAGTGACTGATACCCAGAGTATACTGAATTTATGTGGGGAACATTTAACCAGCCAGCTAAGTAGCAGTAGAAATGGAACGCTCGAATATGGTGAACCCCGATTGTCCTACCCATTCCATTGAAAATACAACCCTACGGTCTGCACCAACTAGTGTCGAATAAGCCTCCCTAATATCGGGTATAAGGTCTGATTGGACCTTATCAGTGTGGCTTTAGATCCAGTAAATCCACAGGGTGGGCAGATGTTTACATGTGCCAAATAATGGGGAAACCGCCAGAAAAGAGGATCAATACATGCCGCTATGTGGTAATCCCACGAAACTTATACAATTGCGCTAACTGACGCTGGACCATACCAGAATTGCAGTAAGAGGTAGGAGAGATCTCTCCGAGCCGTTTGGTACTAAATGTGATGATCCTTGATAACCGCGCTGTTACTTCTGTCTTCCAATGACATAATAAAGAAGCGATTCTGGCAGGGAGGTCTGGTAATGAATTAAATCAGTCATAACTTCGAAGTCAAAAGTAATTTCGTCTATTTAGGGACCACCTTTAACACCAAAAACAATGTCAGCCTTGAAGTCTAACCCAGCCTCATTCCTGCCAACAGGTACTGCTAAGGCCTGAGTAGGCAATTGAAAAGTAAAGTCCAATCTTGACGAACATTAACCAAACTCTGCAAGCCTCTCATCATCTCTATGCTGAAGCGTGGATGATCTTCAATTTGAAAGATCAGGTGGAGAGTGATCTGGCGCGACAGTATTGATTAGGCTATAATCGCATGAGCATTGCTTTCGCCGTTAGAGAAGTAGAGGATTTTCGGTACGAAATGGAGATGCATTAAAATAATTTTTCAAAGTAAATTTTTATTTTTAGAAAATTTATCCGAAATTTCCGTAAAACTGTGCTGTTGACACAAGTAACGACTTTTTTTGAAATATGTTTTAAATTAGCAAAATAGGTATTTTGAAAAACCAAAATTTTAGATTTATTCCTTCTACTTAACTGTAACTTCAGATTCAGAGAGACTACATCTACAAGCCAATGTTAGATGTATTTTTGTACTAAAACATATTATTCAAAGTTGTTATTTTTTCTAGAACTTAACTAGAGTTCGCTTAGCAAACTATGATTTACAATTTTCAGTGGTAGTTGGTCATTGCGGAAAAATGAGCGATAAGAAAATATTGAACGCAAGGTCATTTCTTTTTAAAATAATAATAATAAATAGATATTTAATGAACAGTTCTGATGTTAAAAAATTATAATAAAGCAAAAACTGTTGTTGTAATTTTTTCACTATTTCCAAATAATATATGGGCTGAGACAGTTCCATAAAAAAAACTTAAAAGCAGAAAACACTTTTAATTTACATTACTTTTCTCGAGGATTTTTAACACTTTAGATAAAAAGACAATTACGAGCTTAACTTATATAATAATATACTTAAAATTCTTAATTTTCATTTATTTATTTTCTAACTAAAGCTTACAATCGCAGAAAGCTCAATTTGCGGAGAAAAGCTTTTGTGTTATCGGATTTCATATATACAATAGTTAGCTACCTGCAGTGGAAAATACTATTTGTCAACTAGAATTCAACTAGTTTACATTTTAACACCAACTAGTTCATCTTCAACCATTTTCCATGTAAGCAAGTGGCATTTTCAACAAGACGATGTCCTACGAGCTGAGAATTTTCCTACTCTGCATCAACTTCATACTAGTTTAATTCTAGTCCAATTAGGCATGTTGAATTTCTACTTCACAAAAAAAAGAAGCTAAATCAAATAAAATTCAGCAAGCCGGCTGAGAGAATCGAACCGAGACCCACACGCACCACAGTGAAGACCTCTTATCATCAGACTATCGTTATGAGATATGGAGGAATGAAATCTGCGCGCTTGAACGGATCTTTTTAGGAAATGAAACTCAAACAGCATATGAATGACAGAAAATTTTACCTGTTTCACCAAAAATTGAAAAAAAAAATTAAAATTAAAATATTCTGTTTCATCAAAAATAAAAAAAAAATTCTGTTTCACCAAATAGTAAAAAATATAAGACTTAAAAATTAACTTGTCTCTAGCGGAACTCGAATCGGTAGCTTAGCGCGCTGCAGAAATAATCTCTGGCTCCTCGGCTATCATGCCAATATAACGATTAATGTCATTTTGCGCACTTCAATAGAACAGAGCAGAGAATGGAATTCAGTCACGGTCTGCCGATATAAGAACAACAAACAGTGGTGGAAATTATTATTTCAACTTTTACTGGTGAACTTATTTAAAACTAATGAACTGGTATAATTTCATATTCAACATACTAGTATTTAACTAGACTTTTTCACACTAGTTGGTGTTCCCCAGCAGGGCTATTTCTATACATATATAGGTAATCAACAGTGGGCATGTGTGGCTCAAAGAAGTGGCATTTCGTTTGTTATAGAACGAAAGTCTGCAAATAGAATGAGATTGTTCTATAACAAAATATCACTATATTGCCAGACATATTTTAAAGTGTGTGTGCCATAAAAGGATGCAATTTCAAAACGTCAAATCAAACCTTTTTGCAACTTCCATTTATCGTTAACCAAAACAATATTTTGCCGATAGTATGGAATGATAACCACCTTTGAAAATAAAGCGGCATCATTTCATTTTGGATACGAAAAAGAAACCATTCATTTGTATTTTTAGCTACAAGTAATTATCGAAATGAAAATCTCTATTTCCAATTGTTGAAGATCTCTGCTATTATATTTAAGCGTAAGCCAAAAACTGTAATGAGTAAGTTTTTAGTAAGAAAAAAGTCTCAGATTCTCCCTGTCCCTGATTCTCTCTTTCATACTCAGCAGCATCATAAAATTAAATAATTTCCTTGGTTTGAAATGCATTCGAAGATAAGATAATTTGGAAAATCTTAATGCTAAGAAAAAATATTTATTTTGTCAATATTTCTAGAAGCAACCCATAAACCCATTTTTAATTTCCCTTTAGTATATTTTTTTTTGCGTGGCTTTTTAATAAATTATATTTGGTTGAAGAGTATTGAATGTATTTTTCTACGTTTAGTTTAGTTCAAAACAACTTTTTGTAAGACAAACTTGTGTTTGCCATCGGAATGCTATTAAAGTCTTTTTTCGGCAAAAAAGATATTTGAGTATATTTTCTTTCTAAAAAATGCAATGCTTTTATATTTTCCTCGACTTTACCATCAAGACAATGAAAGTCTCTCAGTCATCGGTCTGCCTCACTTAGAATTTTTTGTCTACAAAATGATTTAAAAGGTTTTTAATTTATCGTCCTGGACCGACCAGCAACCAAAAAATTATAGAAAATTAATTTTTAATCAAAAATTTATTAAATTTTCTAATTGCGTTCGCCCCTCGGCAGGGCGTATATTAATGCCATTAAATAAAAAGCTCCTCATAAGAACCCCATCATACGCTCGGAGCCGACTTTTGGACTAGATGCATCGTACAAATTGAAGTAAAAGCTCGACCGAACATCGCTTGAGCGGTTACAAAACAAAATTCAAAGTACGCGGGATGAGAAAAATTATTGAATAAAATTATGTAATTGGGATGAGTTTTGAAAACACTGTATGCGCCCCCATTTGTAATCATCAAGACGTCATGCATTAACTTGGTGGAAGACCAGAATTAATTAATTAAAAATTATTTGTTTTTATTTTTGATGGGTTGAAATGTTATATAAATTGTACAAAGCTTACTATGCGATATTTTATTTTGGCTACGCAACTATTTTCACATGACTATTACTTAGATATTTACAAATCTACAAATACATACCGAATATTTTCCTGGCACATAAATTGGCTGACTATGACTATTCGGTAGGCCACCTTGGCTCGAATGGCCACGATGACCGTGTTGTCGGTGGTGTGTGCTAGCGCTGAGGCCACCAATGCCACTGACGCCACTACCACTACCGCTACTCCCACTGCCACCGGCCGGATTCATGGGACTTCGTTCCGCCCACGCTGCTTGACGAGCGTTTTCTAAAGCACTTAAAATATCTCCAAAGGGAGCCATTAACAATTCACAATAGACAGATGCTAGACCTTCTAAATGACCACGCTGACCGTCCTGGAAAGAAGTAGACACACAAAACACAATACAATTACAACAACTTTCAAGCTAAAGAATTTTTTTTATTTTTTTTTTATTTTTTTTTTGTTTTTTTTTTTTTTTCTTTGCAAAAAGAAATATTTTCTTCTACATTTGTTTATATAAACACTTTCATTATAGTATTTTTGAATATGTAAACGCATATGTTATTGTTGTAATTGATGTGAGTAGATGAAAAAAGGAATGAACGATGTGAGGAGTATTTTTTTTTAGAAGAAATATAATGCAATTGGTTAACTGTTCAATTGTTAAGGGAAGGGTGGAATATGAGTTTTCAGTGGGTGAGTTGATTAAGTTTTCATGAAGATCTTTAGTATATAAATTAGTGATGGTGATTATTATAATGAAAACTACGGTTTTATGTTCATTCAATGCAGTGATTAGTGGTCGGCCATGCGTATCACAGGTGATGTTAGTTGTGGTCAGAGTGTTGCAAGGTAAAGGTTTTTGCGCTAATTTAATTATACTTGAGAATCATTAGTGTGGCAGTGGTTAGTCAGCAATGGTTAAGTAGAATGAGAGTATGATTGTGCGCAATTATTACATAACAGGTGGGGAGCGAATTTAGTGTGAGAGCAGGGAAATGACAGTGAATTATGATATAAAAATTAGTAAATTCTATGAATATTAGAAATACATTTAATTTATGGCATATGAATATAAAATGAGTTATGTTTATGTATATTAGTTCAATGAAAGGAAATAAAGTAACGTATAAATTTAGTTTGGAGTAGAAGGAATGCGAGAATTTTTTATTTTCAAACTCTTTAAGCGTACCTATTGTACGTTTTATGATTAAGATACACATTAAAATTTCGAAATAATTAATTTCTCAAACGTTTACTTCTAAATTTCCCAGTCGTAATTGTATAAATGTATGCATGTACCTAATTACATTTAATATTCTAGCATTCAAACTTTACCACTTAAATAATAAATTACATTTTGCGTCTATGCTCAGCTTTATCAAAAGTGTCCAGCATACAGAAGTGCATTTATAGCCTAGTAGAAACATAGCGCACGTAAAACACATACATAAAACTGCATTAAACATGCTTAGCGCCTAAAAGTATGCAATCATTAAGTGCTGTTGCACTGAAACGCTGCGATAAGGCACGCTACAGGCAAATTTTTAATAGCGGTAATGCGCACACCCACACATCCACACAGACACTCACACACATGCACTTATGTATGAATGTTAAATACAAACATAATGAAGAAATAATGCAGTTATTATCGCTTTGGTAAATTCAATTCTTAAGAGTTACACTGTACATACATAGACTCGGATATATGTATGTAGTCACCAGTCATAAATGGCGTAAAAAATAAATATACGACTATGCAAGAATACTGAAATTATTACATACGCAAAAATTAAATAAAATTTAGATTGAGTTTTATGTGCGAGTGCCTATGTGGACTCATATGTATTATTCCTTATCGGTTGCTCCATATCTATATGCATACATATGTATGTGTGTTCGCACAGTATGCGTTGGCTGGCACGCTGGTGCTATGAATCAACAATTTTAGTGGCTAATAAAAATGTTTTGCGCTAAAAATTACGAGCAAATCTCAATTGGCACATAAAAGTGTGCAATCAACGCAAGCAAACGGTGTCAGCCATCCAGTTAATTTTCGAAATGTGACTGAAAGAATGTTAACAACCTTGGTAGTATTGATTGGTAGAGAATTTTTCCGTAGTATTGTTAAATCAATATGAAATATTTAATAAAGTTTTTGCATATTTTCTTCGTATGGTCGGTTTTTTAGTTACCTAAAAAATGTTTTTTGCTCAAGAATATTTAGTTTGACCCCTTCAAGGTACTCACTTACCGAAATAATGCACCTATGAGTTTTTCTAATCTTCAAAGCACTAAAAGGTAATTTGAGTGATATTTTTCAGCTTATATTTCGATGCAGGCTTTATGTCGTCGGCTGTTTGGAATGAAAAAAGTTAGAGGGGTTTTTTGGCGCACACAAGCAGTGGACTTCAGAATAACCAAAAATCACTTTTCTGCCAGAAATGCGGGCTTTTCCCTGTGCTATAGCAACACAATTTTAAAATTGTGACAGACGATGTGTGCACTTCCCATGAGCCCAACATCGACTCGATGACAGCGACAGATATAAATAACCGCCTTTATGCAGTAAAGACCCAACGTCAACAAACCCAAGGAAGCTTCGTCGTCGAAAAGCTGTAATCAACATGTAATGCCGAGCGGTTTTCTAATCGACAGAACGATCTGCATTTCAAGAGTACTCATCTGCAACTTGATATAAGAGAACAATGGAGCGCTATTTCAAACTAGCAATTCATATTTGAGAATATCGGACACAGAGCTGGTACGTAGGGAAATGTAGAGCTGCAGCAAGCAAGACCCATTTGCAGACATAAAAAATGGAGCCGAAATATGCGATTGTGAAGAACTTGAATAGCTGCCCGAATAGAGTAATGTCCGCAACTGCAACGAAAAGCTGCGGCGGTTTAGAGAAGTTTTCAAGACCGAAGCATACTCATTTAGAAACCACAGAGGCAACCCGGTACCCGATGTCGTCAGAGTATACCGAGTTTATGGAAGGAGCATTTCCTCAGATTGCAATAAGTGCAGCACCGATTATAGCGCAGTTCGAACAGAATGATACAAAATCAATGAGAAATGTCTGATCTGTACTAATATGGCTTCTTTGAACGAAAACATGTCGGATGATTGGAACCTGAGTGTGTTCAGCCCAGTAGTTGCTACTATTGGATAAGCATCCTTTAGATGGGGTAAAAGGTCTTATCGAGTGAAATATGTGGAAGACTAAGACGCAGCGTGATTTGGACCTTGTCAGTGTGACATTAGACCTGGTAAATATACCATTGAATAGAAATTCACCATGTGACAAGTCTATACAAACAACCGTGAGCAAGGAATCGACACACTACATCGTTTCAGTCGCTTTCAGAGCTACCCCGACAGCGGGAAAGGGATCAGCCTCTACGTCTTTATGTCTGAACATATATCCATGCAAAACCTTTAAGGTTTTTTAAACTGACCCTGTTCTTCTAGTACAGTCTCCATTGGATTGTGAGTGTTCGGTATAAAAAAAAAAGTTTCAAGCATAGAGACTTCCACTAGTGCTACATCTGCAACTCACAGCTGGAGAATACAATTCGATCTCTAGACAATACACATCTTTTCTAGAAGAGTGTACAATTGGCAGTGTTAGTCGAAGATATTGATAGCACAGGATCCAATAAGTGCTTCTGTAGAAGTGTTTTTTGAAGACCGTATAAGAAATCATGAGTCGAATGGGTCTGCCGAAACCACCCATTAAGTAAAACATGAAATTCAATACAGAATCACTCTGACCAAGAGATGCAACTACGGACTGAGTAGTCATTTGAATAGAAAAGTTCTCTTTCCACGTACAAAAACATAGCTGTACAAGTTCCTTATCGTCCCCATCCTGTTATATCTAGCATAGGTTTGTGCGTTGTAAAAATCGGAAAATTCGATTTTTGGAATATTCGAGTGAAAGATATTGCGGATGATTTACAGAGCTTCATACATTTGTAACGGCCAATAACATTGATTAAGGAGAAAAGAGTTGTATGGGGCACAGCGTATACAGAGACAGCGAACTGCGGTACCCGCTGGTAGAATCTGAGCAAGAGGAAAAAGTCTACTCCCTTGAAATGGTTATGTAGAGGAAGACCTTACTGCAACTCAACTCAATTTCCAATTGGCGCCAAACAGCAACATGAAGAAAGTAATGGCACTGCAGCTACGTTAATGAAAAACAAGAATAGGTTTCTCAATATTAAAAGAAAATATAAGATATAGTATAATTTGTGCTTATGATTAAGCGGCTCATATTTGGAACAAATTGCCAGAGTTCAAAAAAAAAAAAAACAAGGAAAAACAACGCGATTTTCCTACTCCTATTAATTTCTCTTCCTAATCGACAAACAACATTTCTCAGGACGTTGTACCGAATGAAAGATGCCGATCAGTCGAGCAGTCTCGTTTTTAACGGGACATATCCAATACTAAAAGCATTCCATGGAAAACGAATATATGGTATTTTTTGAAACATAATATCACTCCAAAATTACCTTAGCAAATAAAAGTTCAGATGAATTCAAACTGCAAAAATAACAAGACTTCAGTACGAAGCCAAGTTCAGTTAAGAAAAATACCTTGTATAAAGGTTACGCTCGTGGATTTTTGTGTAGTTAAAAATTAATTTAAATTTTCCGTTTATTTTAAATATAGGTATAACAGCAAATTGCTCGAAAGTATGTGAAGTAATTATGCTTTTAAAAATTTCATTAAATTCTGTAAGAATACAAACATTTTGTACACACAAAGACACGTGAATGCTTTACGCATCCTTTGCAGAGGCGCATGAGCTCTAAGGGGTGGCAGCAGTTGTTAGCTCTCGGCATTAAACAGCTAAAACAGTTAGAACTGCCTGAATCGCGTTCATGTTCGAAAGTAACAGAGGCTTTACACACATCCATACATATTTATAACAGTGCAATGAGTAAGCAAACACATACACATTTGTGTAGGCAGTGAACGCATTGCTGTAGGTGTAATAAACCAGTCGCGATATATTATATAAATATATATATATACAGAAGTTGTGGCTCCTTAAACCACCTACCCTATGTGGGTTGCCTCAGGTTAATTCAACAATTTCAAGGCGAAATTTGATCTTACATACACAATTATTTATTATCGGTACCATATGCGAATTAACCTACGTGTGGTACATTGCATGCATATTTCTCTAAATATGTATACTTGAATGTTGTTAGAATATGCCACCCAGTAGGAAAGTTTGAATTTGTTGAACTTAGATATATGTAGGTATTTGTTAAATGCTTCATTGCCATTTTTTTAAGCTGAAGTTTATTATTTTCACTTTTACTCACGAAATTCACTTATTTTTTTTCT